TTCTTATCTCGTCCTTAATTGTCCAACATCCCACTCTGTTATAACAGAACAAAATGAGGATGATATTGGTGATAAACAACACCCAGAGCCACACCCAGCTTTCACCCAACCTCGGTCTCAGACCAAACACTGGCACTAAAGGCTTTTTATTGCTGTCTTATTTTGGCTTTTCGGTGTGTTTGTGTATGTCTGTGTCACTCCTCCCTCACTGTGCTTCATCTTGGTTACTTAGTGTGTGTGTGTGTGTCCTCTTTCTCTGTTTAATTTCAGCTTGTGTGACCCCTATCTCTGATTCTGTCAGTCTCATTTTGGCTCCATTTTGGGTTACTCCATGTGTGTGGTATGGTGTGTATGTGTGCACAGTAAATCTATCTTTGAATTTGCTGCTTCATTTTAACTGCTTGTTGGCTTGTGTGTATATGTGCATGTATGTTATGTGAACACACACTCTTCCACCCCCTCTGGGTCTCTCCCTCTTTGCTCTGTAATAAGAGCAGCTGTGGTTGACGTGAGGCCAGCTCTGATTCAATTGCAGTGCAGGACTTAAGGCTATTATCCTCTGTACACTGAAGGAGGAGGGAAGCCCGGCTGCTGGAGCACAGCTGCTAACAGCAATGAAAGGTCTGATGCTGCTTTCCAGAGAAGACTGAGGGTAGGAAATTTCTAAATCCAACACGGGAAATGAAACAGCCCTGGAAAATAGAATGAAGTTGAGCCTAAACCAACAAATATTCTTGTTACTTGGTAACTTTCTCCCCTGGAATTTTTTTTTTTTTATACAGCTTTTAAATGAAGTCTTAAAAGTTTTTCATCTCTGCTTATTGCAATGAAAAGATTCTTTTAAATTCCAACAAATTCCAACCAAAATATAACTTTGTAGTTCACTCCATTTTCCTGACAGAAAGTTGATAAATGCAGATATTATATATTCCATATTGACATTTAGTGTTCATTTTCTCACCAAAAAACTGTGACGAAAAATACGTGACAGCATAGCGTTAGCTCTGAATGCCCTATATAAAAACAAAATGATGTAAAAGATGGACTAATGGACAGATGAGCAAATTAATACGAAGTCTCATTAAATAACCACATTGTAAAGTGAGTAACAACTGAACTTTAATTTAATGGCTTTTTATAATTATTATTTAAAATGAAGAACAGTCAGATGAAGATGAATCCAAAGGACATTCAGCATGGCTAGTTAGCTTTTAGCAGGACTGTGTTACTTATTTTCTCCATTAAGATTAGATTTATCGACTGGTTTAAAGATTCAATAAAACTAATTCAATTATTAAGATGATGGAGCATTTAAAATTGATTTTTCAATTGAAGGAAGCAGGTTGGAAAGAGTCAGCAAATTAGCTTTAAGTAAACTAGCTTTGACTGCACTCTGGCTAGCCTCAACTAGCTCAAATACAGCTAGCTAGCCTCTTGCTCCTTATTCTTTTTTTGTTTGTTTCTTTTCTGTTTTCAAAAATGTACATATATCTTTAGCATAATAAATATGGCAAAACATTGGCTAAATAGCAATTTTGACTAAATATACAGTTGCTGTTGTGACTTTGAAGGGTGATATGGACTAAATGAATCTACAGTGCCACTGAAAATGAGTAAGGTATCAGAACAGTAGGAACAAACCATGCAGCCAAAAATGCCAACATTTAAAAGAAAGGTAAGCTAATGCTAACATTATCAAAGGCTGTGGATGTAGCATTAACACTGCCTGATATTTTAACTGCTCGTCCCACACAGTGAACAGTGTTTTTGCAGTGGAGAGCACGTAGCACAGTAATGCTACAACCGTGAGTGGGTGGCTCTGTTCAAGCAGCCAAAGTTGGGACTGACAGCTGGATTTACTGAGAGCCTTGAGTCTGTTACCACAGAAAGTGACATGGGGCACTGTGTGTTTGCACTACTACAGACTGCTGTAAACAAGCAAACACGTCCTTTCCCGCTGGTACACAACAAACATGGCGACAGCTGTAGCCTTGGAATTCTCAGAGGACATAAAAATTAAAAATCCACAACAAATATGAGTCAAATATTTGACTAAAACTAGCAAAAAGGAAATGACTAAAATGTGAGTAAAATAAATACACATTTTTGTTAAAAGACTAAAACTGCAACTACATCAAAATCAGGTGCCAAAATGAACCACTGGTGACATTTTTCCTCTTAGCCACACTCCTACACACTATTTGTGTCACTTACAGGCTATTGTAGCTCAACATGACATTGTCTCATAGAAGGGGAACCGTGTTTTTTCTCCCCTGGTTTTTCTGAGTTGTGCCACTGGAATGCCTGGAGGATGTAATTACGACCTACTGTACAAGCTGGGAATTTCCCACGTCTGACTTTGAATTGAAGGCAGCATCATTCTTAGACAGCTAAGAGTGGCAGAGACAAAAATGGCTAAGGAAGGCAATTAAGAGGAAAAGAAAAGGGAGTAGAGACAGATTTATAGTAGAATTAGAAGGGAACTGTGGCGAGAGGTGGGAGGAGGGAAAAGAAAAGATTTAAAAAAGGAGATCAAACATTGATATAGCAAGCGAGAGAGGGGGGAATCAGAGGAAGGATGGGGGGGGAAATGAGTGATTAAGGGAAGGAGGTGGAGACCAGCTGAGGACCTCTACAGCTTAATTAGATGCAGAAGGAGGAGACACCTGCCAGATGAACACCCCCTCCCCTTCTCCTTCCCTCCCCTCTACAAAACACGCAGATCTTTATGAAAAAGCACTCATTGCAGAAAATAACAACACTTCAAACCAGGCATCTGTTAGCCGGTGAGGTCCGCGCTCTGCCGGTGGGAGACCCACCCCAAAAACCTCCTCCTCCATCTACCCCAGGCGGATGTACCGCTATGAATAATGTAACAGGGAGGGGTGGAGGCCATTGGGCGTGTGCGCAAGAAGGAGAAAAAAAAAGAGGGTAGTCCCTCCTCCTCCTTCTTCACCACCCCCTTCTCCTTCCATTCTCCTCCCCTCCCCTGTTCACCCAACCCCCTTGCTGCCGGCCGCACTGCAGAAGGTCAGAGGGAGAAGAAGAGGAGAGAGGCAGAGACACAGAGAGGCAGAGGGAGAGACAGGGGTGGGGTGCGTGGATGTACATGAACATGCCGAGAGGAGAGTGTGTGGACCAGCGATGACAGCCATGCTGAGCCCAAAGATCAGACAGACCAGGAGAGGTAGGACACGGTTTGTTTGCTCTGCCTTCACATCTACAGTGCCTGCCAGCTGCATTAGCTGCTTATTCTCCCCTAAGTCTGTAGTGACAGATCATGTCATATCTGACAGAGATAGATCTGTCAAATTAGAGGATGTATGTGTGTGTGATGCTGTGGCTTTATCTGGACATTGACTTGCACTTTTACAAACATGTTGCATTTTAAAAAGTGCTTTTTTCTCCTCTGATTGTGATTTTACATGAGAATATGTCAGCCTGAACACTTTTTCTCTACTCCCATCCACTACCGCAGTCACATATTTCTGAATGAAGCGGCAGGTCTGCCCACGCAGGAAAGCTCTTGCGTACATTAGCATTCTACTACAGCTGGCCGATGCTGCCAGTGTGAATTCTATTAAGAGGAGCGAGCAGCATCTCTAGTTTCATCACTGCAACGCTCAGCACTACCAGGCTGCTGTCAGCTGCTGCTGCCGCTGTGTGTGTGTGTGTGTGTGTTTGTGTACTCACACTTGCACATGTACATTATGTGTGTGTGTTTCTGTGTGGATGGATGTTTTAATATGTCCATGTGTGCCAGTGTGTGTGTGTCCTTCCTTCCTTCCTTGGCACTAATCTCCATGACTGCAATTATACAGCTGGAGCTGATTAAAATGAAATGAATAGTTCCCAAGAATGGGAGAGTGATGTGTAAATCCTCCGCTGGAGCAGCATGAAATTGGCAGTAAAGTGGATTAAATCTGTGTTTGCATATATTAAGATGGCAGAACAGATTCAGCTGCCTTGATGAGTAAGTGTGAGTACATTTTGTTAATCAGCACTTAATTGATTACAACATCACATTTAGGCACGTCAAATAATTGTAACGACCACGATGGTGTAGCGCTAGTCGTATTATGGTCAAATCTTGTGTTCATTAAGTGAGAAAGGAGGTTTCATGTGCATTAAGAGAAGGTCCAAATCAACTGTCTCGCTTCAAGTTGTTGGGAGTACCACTCACCCTCGCTGCGTTTCTCTTAAGACGGTGGAAATTGAAGAGATTAAAGCGACTCTATGATTCTGCATGAGAAGCATTCTCCACATACCTCCTGTAAATTGGCGCTTCACTGCTGACAGCGTCACATTTGTTGCATGAAGTCCATGAATAAACGGGTATGTGACAGATGTGGTTGTGTAGTACAGACTCGGCTGAGGTCAAAGGGGGTTAAGAAAAGGACAGCAACCACTGAGCGAACGACATTTAAGATGACTGAAACGTTTCTGACCCGCAAACTAGAATGTCAGAGAGGACACTGAAAATATGAATCAATAGTATAATGACTTTTTTTATTGATCATTCATAGCTGCGACATTCATGCTGGTGGAAGGTCAGTTGACAAGCTAACTAGCTTGGATATGCTATATATTAGATATGACTTGTTTGAATTTAGAAGGTCAAGGACAATCTAACTAGCTGCTAACCTTCCAAATTCAAAAAAGTTAAGATATTTATGTTCTATAGGAACAATTTAAATGGCTACATAGCATTGTTTTTTCAGTTAGTTCATTGAACTGCCCCTAAAAGAATAGGTTGACATTTTGGGAAAAACACTTATTCACTTTAATGATGATATTTAAATGAGAAGATTGACAATGTCAGTCTGTATGCTAAATATGAAGCTAGAGCCAGGACATGGTTAGCTTAGCTTAGCTTGGTTTACCTTAGCTTAAACATATTGTATCTTGTGTGTTTATTATGCACAAACATTGAATTGCAGTTCTAGGTGGGTTAGGGTTATTTTTTACCCTTTGGACAGAGCTAGACTAGCTGCTTCCCCCTGCTTCTTGTCTTTGTGCTAATCTGCTGGCTTTAGTCTCGTATTAAGCAAACAAACGAATATTCCCAAAATTTTGAAATGACATTATTTACCCAACTGATTATTTGAATCTGCCCCTGAGGTTTAATTAAATCAGTGTGATTATGCCTTCCTTCTAGAGCAGCTCTTAATTGGAAATGCTTGTGTAAGTAAAAACCCAATTTGCTACCAATGTTGGATGCCAATAGACAGATTTATCTAACTTGGAATCTATTCATGAACAATATCTGCTGCATATAAGAAAGATCTGGCTGCTGTGCTTCAGCAACTGCTACAACCAACAACGTATTAAAGCAGAAATAGGGTTCTGGGTGCATTTTTCTTTGGCTGACACCAGAAATCTGGTAGCAGCTTTAATTGCCCACATATCAGCTGCTTCATTCTCTTGCTGTGTCTTTTTGATCTGCGTTACCATGGTTTTATGATCAAAGTCCTGCAATGTAGCAACACTTCTGACATTCTGCCTTTCTGAGGCGAATGAATGAACACCCTCACAGCTAGACACTGTGAGCAAGAGCATGCCGCACAGATAAAAAAAATTCACACACTGACACACTGAGGTAATGAGGATGTGGAGATGATAACGTGCACAGAAATGCACAGATACGCGCACACCCGCTGCTGCAGATCAGTTCTGCTCCACTGCAGCGTTCACATATGGGCTGTATGTTATCGGCCACACCTCCAGCCTGTCAAGGAAGGCTGCCACACTCACACACACACACACACACACACATAATGGCTAACACATTAATCAACAGTGATAGGCTAACTGGAAGTTACGCACTGATGCACCTGTAACTCTCTTTGCCATTTTCCACGAGCCATAAATCACTGCACAACAACCAGATTAATGAAATTGAATTCCTCCAACATCCCTGTGCACATGCTTGTACATGTGTGTGTATGTGATTTAGTCATCTGTGTGGTATTGTCTAGCTATTGTGGAGTGCCCGCCTTGCCACGCTAATGGATCGGCTCCTCTGTGATGTGCATAAGAGCCATACTTCCATTTCCTGCTGATGATAAATATACGACTCCAAGCTGCATTAAGCGACATCATGCTGCCTGGAGTGTGTGTGTGCGTTCGGGCATGTGTGTCTGTGTGTGTATGAGAATGTAACATCAAGTGTGCTATAGTGTACAGTACCACTTGTGTTTCGATTTCAGCCTGCAGACCATTTGTTCACATTCTAACATTACTTGCATACTTAGACAATTGGGTAAATTGGCTGAATCTACAGCATCTCAGAGCCAACATTACAAAACATCACTATTTACATCCAGTGTGAACATTCAGTGCCGATGCAGGAAGTATGCTCTTTATGTAGCAAGGATGACAGTAAGCTTAGGGTGGTGGAGTAACTCCAGTAGCTCTGGTAGTAGTCAGTCACAATGGCTCTTAAAGCTTATTTCTATTTTCTCTCTACCCTCGGCATTTCACAACACATGTTCACAAGATTGTACAACAACTTGTCCCGGACAAACTGGCTAAATGACAATTAAGCTAGCTTGTCCGGGAAACCTTTAGCTCATTCTCTTATGGGACAATAAATGTTACCGATAATCCCCCCCCCCCCCCAAAAAAAAAAAAAACTGCCATTTTAATTACTCTGACCGGGCTTTAAATCTGTCAGGATTTTTGCGTATTTCTCAATTCAAGTCTGTTTTCCATTTTGCTGTAAATCGTAGCTGACGTTTATACTGTAGTCTGATCAGCACACACCCCTCCCCGTGTTCATGATATCATGTATGAGCTCATGACTGAATGAGTCGCCAGTCCATCTGGTATTCCTGGATATTCAGCTTCATACGCAGAATTATTCATCCATGATCCTGAAATGACATGACACACGCACCAATTTACATAAATTATCATTAGGGTATGTCATGATAAAAAAAATGTGGGCACAGACAACATCTGCACACGGAGTCATGATGTTGAGCCCCTATTATTTGACTCAGCCCCTCCCTAACTACTATCTACTGTAAATGAATGAGCCACAATTACATTCTGTTTCAGTAAATTGCAGTGATTATGCAAAGAGTGCATTTTTACGGTAAAACAGCCTCTTTTTCAGCATTGTAGTTGATAGTTGAAGAAGTGACCACAGAGCGGCTCCACCCAACCAAAGGAAGGTCTGAATCACTCTGAGCAGAATGTCCAAATTGGCACAGTGGGTAGTCGTGCTTGGCACATACACACAAACACACTCAAAAATCAGTTGTTGTGACTCAGGCGTGAATCATCAGCCAATGTATGTTCCACTCAGTCTGCGATCCAGACAGCTGATGTGTTAAACAGTGGTGCTCTTTTATGCAAACACTGGCAGAGTGGGGAAGGATGGAAAGACATGAAGGACGTTATGTGAGAAAAAACAAAGGGGTGAAGGAGGACAGGGAAGGTGAGTGCCACTTTTAGCTAGTAATATAAGACAGCTAGGGTTCATTTCACACTGTTGTTGATCATGCACGAGACACTTTGCATCCAGGATGTTCACACTACCAAGAATCCATTGGAACAAGTAAGAATACATCAGACTGGGGGGTTTTAACCCGAGCAGTCATGATACCTTAATGAATAAGGTTAATCAGTCAGCTGTCATGCTCCATCAGTCTTCCTCCATCTAAGTAGATCAATGAACCAACACAGTGGCTAGATAATGCTTATCCAGACATCTATACATATTTAAATCAGCAGGTAGCATTAGGCTAAATTTAGCTTACTGCTGCTGCTGTGTTACTCTTAGCAACTGTCAAGCTAATTTTAACTTCACATCTGTAACTGTCACAAGTATCATTTAGCCATTTACCACACAGAGAGTAAAAATACGTAATCTGTGAATATTTGGAAGTGCTACTGTTTCCCCCAAAAAGGGGCGTGGCCTTGTTTGGGAGTCAAAAAACTCTAAATGTTAAAGACAGTATAGGTTGGTTGGAGGCAAGAGAGCTTCAGGGGTAAAAGAAAAAACACCATGAGTGATTTGCTGTCCTTGAAAATGTAACATGTAGAGCTTTGATGCTGTTTTTATTTTAACATCCTGTATGTAGTAGGCTAACAGGCAGAAATAAAACCACCAAAACCATTGCAGAAAGCAATTAAGACTGATGTGCAATGCTTAAAAATTTACATTGTTCTCAAAAACAATGGAAACAATTATATTTTGAAAATAGCTAATTAAAATGTCTCAAATCCAAGAACTCATTTATCAGACAAAAACTGCTTAAATTAGGTGCCAGTGGTAAGAAAAAGCATCCTCTGTTGTGCATGTGTGTACGTGTGCTCTCAGTAATACCAGAGCTTTGATTCAACAGGACCAGCAGTGCTGAACGTAAGGAGGGAGAGACGAATTAGAGCGAGTCAAAGTAAAAGAAATGGAGGGAGACGGAGCAGGGGGGTGAAAACAGAGAGCAGGAAAACACTGGAATTAACACAAGATGGATAATGAGAACAGCCAAGGTAGAGCACACAGGGAGAAAGAGAGCAGGAGAGGGGAATGAAGTAAAAAGGGAAGAATGTCTGGCTTTTAAAACCATATTGTTCCATCAGACGTTTTGAGCTTATAAAGGGGTATATTGCTATTTGGTTGCTTGTCGGATCTGTAGTATATCACTCACTTAATTTCCACCATGTTGCTTAGGTTTTAAACATTAAACCAAAAACTGAAATATCTTAAAAGACTAAGTACATTTAGTCAACAAGCAATGAAAACCTGGATTAAACCACTTTGTTCAAGATATATAAATTAGATAAGAAATATGAAATGGAAAAAACATCTCCTGGAATCACAGTGACTGCACATTAATGCAAAATAGAACATATATTGATATTATTAAGTCAAATTATAACTTCTTTATGAATGTATAATTTTATAGTTTCCTCACTAAACATGTTAGAGACTACTGGATCTGTGGAGATTTAATGACACTTTAAAGGACCAGTGTGTAGGATTTAGTGGCATTTAGTTCCTCACTGAACACCGCTGGCATCTGTATTTGACAACCTGGGAATAAGAACAGGCTTTAAGGTGTGCAGGAGGAACTACGGTGGCTGCGAAAGGGCCAGCTACTGTTTGGTTTGACCTTTGTGGGCTACTGTAGAAATATGTCAGTTCAAAATGGCGGACTCCATAAAAGAGGACCTGCAGTGTCTGTAGATACAAATGTGCCATTCTAAGGTAACAAAAACACGATTCCTATATTCAGTTAATTTACACTAATGAAAACATATCTATGCATATTACACTCCATTTCTGCCAATAGATCCTCCTAAACGTTACACACTGGACCTTTAAAGCTGCACAAAAATCATCACCCGACTTTGCACTTCCCGTGAGCTCTACAGAGCATTTTAGCTTTGTTTTTATAACCCGCAACTTTACTGTGACCAAGGAATAAAATACAGGTGTGAAAAGGCTATCTGACTATCAACAGGCTGCCAGGAAAGGCTCTGACGTGACATTAAACCGACCTCCTTTAAGCTATATGTATGCTGGAGAGAGAGATGAGACAATAAAAAAGAATAAACATTGATTTTTCCCCCGTCCCCATTCATCCATTCCCTTCTTCCCTCTGCGCCATCTGAACATTGATCATTTGTGTGCGTGTGTGGCGCCAAACACACACCAGCAGGGAGGATGTCTGCACAATTGATTTCTATAAATTATACATGATCATCAAATAGCATTGCCTGGTTTGCCTGACAAGAATATAGACTTATCTTAGCTCTGTGGAATTTCCTCAAAAATCTTAAGCCGGTTTTCTAAGTGTGTAATTTATCCTCAGCTGAGGACACATGCTTAAAAAGGACACGTTTTACATTAATGCATCCTGCTTCATTCTTGAATCACAGGTAATAGTAGAAAAAAATAGAAAATACAACACTGAAACTAACAGGATACTTGGCAGTGGTCTTTTTACACAAGACGTGTTTACATGTCAGCTGATGAAACATTTTTATTTTGAAAGATTATACAAATTTTACTCCTTAATAATTTTTTTCAAAAGCTGCTGCCATACAAGGACAATATGAACGGCACAGTGGGGACAAACCGGATGCCACATAACGCTATAAAGCTGCTTCCCCCTCCCTTTTAAACCTGTCCTTGACTGAGCTCAGGTTACACACGTTTGTTGAGAATGATTCAGTCAGCCAACCAGTCACTCAGCCAGCCAGTCAGTCCCATGTGGTCCTATTATCTCAGCTAAAAAGCCTCTGCTATTCTATTGGGCTGCGGCAACACACAATATGTCTCTTCCAAAGACCTCTGAAATGGAAGGTGGGGATCCCTGTCACCTGAGGCTATCTATCTATGTGTGTGTGTGTGTCTGTTCCCCCTTCGCAGTCTCTATTCTATCTATTTTCTGTTATTATTTGTGCCTGCTGCCTCTCTCAGTCCCATTTCCCCTTCATCTAGAGGGGTTGCAGCCTCGGGCAGAAGGTTGTGCGTGTTCATGACTGAAGAGCTTGCCAGAGCATGTGTGTGCATGCAGCATACAGAATGAGGGGATAACACAAGCTTCTATTAGGGAGAAAATGAGAAGGAATATAGCAAATCAAGCAGAACCAGCAGTTCAATCCCCTTTAACCCACCCAACCCCTCACTTTCTGCCTGCTTGTATAAACACACCTAACACCGCATAAAACTGATTTATGTGTGTATGTGTTTGCAGCCAGGTCCAAGAGCATGGTGATGGGTGAGGTGTCACGGGGGTCATGCCGGCCGGCTTCCCCCAGCCTCCAGGAGGGGGCTCTGAAGGCCGGCTGGCTGAAGAAGCAGCGCAGCATCATGAAGAACTGGCAGCTCCGCTGGTTTGTGCTGCGCTCAGACCAGCTCTTCTTCTACAAAGACGAGGAGGAAACCAAACCACAGGTAACACCTGAGTCATGTTTGTACACAGTCGAATACACAGACAGGACAGTGAAGCTCAGTCACTGTTCTTCGGCTTGTGTGATAACGTTAATTAATGAGTGAATTTGACTTAAGGCTGTTCTAGGTAATTAAAACTAAACTAGGTGTAAAAAAACATTTAAGTCAACTGAAATAAAAATAAAAGCGTCGCTATTTATTTAAAATAATGCGTCTATTTAATATAAATAATGAAAACTAACTGAAATTGAAATATTTTGTACTGTGACTGTGAGTCGATTGCCTTTACAAAGGCTTGTGTTTGTATTGTAAAACCTGTTCTGAACGTCTTAAATCTTGCCCCTGACAAA